CTTAGACAACTATATGTACAGAACGCATCTGCCCTTAGCATAGACTGGTTTAATCACAAGTCAAAGCAATACTGTTGGGTGCTGCCCCACAGAAGCTAACACTGCTATATCATGAGCCCCAAAACTGATCTCCAATTTCAGCCTCAGTGGGACATCATCAAGCAATTTGCTGCATACCTGAGGGTTGGCAAGGTGATGGCTTATAGCCAGCACAATGAGGTCCGTTCCCCCAGCATTAACTATGGCATCTTTCACGTCATCATTACCTGCAACTGCTCGGATGGCACTCAGCACCTGCTTCACCACGTCCTGCGTTCATCAAGAAAAAACAGCTTAGAAAGCAGGAGAAAACGTTTCACAAACTTTTGAAAGACAACCAAAACAGACACGAGCAACTCCAGTCAAAAAGTTCTGATTCCCACCTATGAAGAGCAACATTATTCTCAGGCACGCACATCTCAGGCATAGTTTCTGGCTAGAAATAATAATAAAAAACCTTCTTTGGACTGATAGAGGTTTTCAAAGAAGCTTACAGAATCAGACACTAACCCTTTGGGACTTGAGTCTCTAAATCCTCTTGGACCTCTGCTAGCCAGAGCTGTGGGAAACCAGAAGCTCAGCTTTTTTGGGAGCAAGGAGAGTTCTGCCCATGGACTAGGGAGGACAGAGGAAGTAACCATGAGTAAGGGGGCTAGAATTACTGCATTCTTAGCTTTGACAGAGCACAGGTAACCTAGCTCTGTATGAGTATCAGTGGTTGGGTTTCAACCCTAACTGCACCTAAAGTTAGGCATAAAGTCTAAGGCTCATTCACAGCCAGGAAAAGCACACTCTGTTGCGTTACCTTCACACCCAAGTACACTTTATTTCACTCACTGGATGGTCAATGCAGTCAGCAAGGAGAGAGACCATAAAATTTAAGCCCCCAAGGTCCACAATCTCTTGACAGAATTCATTTCTGACAGAAAGGCGAGAAAGAGTAGCACACAGTTCACTGAGAACACTGGAGTTATCTGTGAAAGCTGCAGAGGAGAGATGATGGACGGAGTAAGTACAAGCAAGGAGGAGCGCTAGCAGAATCAAGGTGTTTTACTGTGCTTCATAAAATTACAAAAAAAAAAAAAGGCAGGAAAGATTGAATTTCACTTTGCATATTAAAACACACCATCACAGGTGACACCCTGTTCACTCGGTATCTCAACTGAGACAGAATGTCTTTCTTTGGCTCACAGAGGTCTTTTATACCAAGAATGCAGCACCGTGGCAGGGATAATGGGTATGTAAGCCTGCGCTGGGCTACAAAACACTCGCTAGAAAGACTGACAAACAGCTCTGATAACTGTCACCTTGGTACTGTTGATGGCCTCTGGAGCAATCATATTTTTCTCTTTCAGGGCACATTTCATCAAAGGAATTAAACATCATTTTAGCAGCATATTTCAGAATCACCTCTGAGGGCTTCACGTTACTACAAAGCAATTTTGAGATAAGAAAGCAAAGGCTATTTGAAATTAGAATCAACAGTCATGGGATTAACTTTACCTTTCGCAGCTTCAATGAGGACCCTTAACCCGTCATTCTCCAACACAATCATTTTGGCATGATCATGAGCGTGACCAAAGGGCACCCGGATGTCATCATCGAACGTCATGATCCTGAGCGCCAAGGAGGCCGTTCGAACGACATCAGCACTGTCTCTGTGCTGGACTATAGCGCCAGTCAGAAGTGGCAGAACCCCGCCTTTCACAAGGTCCTGACGGTTCTGCTCATGTTTCAGACAGGCGTGTCGAATGCATCGGATCCCAGCTAGTGTCATTTCAGCATCCTCTGCATATTCTTTCAGAGTTTGTAGCAGTAGATCCTGGCCAGCAGAGTCAAGTAGGTCTGGCTGCCCGTCCAGGAGAGCAGACAGAGCACAGAAAACTTTCAGCATTAAATTTCTGTCTCCAGAAGCCAGCTGGAAGGCAGGGAATACCACAGAATAGGCACCATGCTGCCCAGCCAGGTAGCGGAAAGCCAGCTGTTCTTTGCATTGCTCAGTGAAGAGCACTAGCTGCTTGGCCATCTCAGTGAGATCAGAATCAGCAACAGATGTCCTGAGAGAATCTAAAGTCTGAAGAAGAGAACAAGAATTACTTTTCTATCTGAACTGAGGAGGAACAAGAGCAGTTCTTTACAGTCAGTCATATTTATTTGCTTACAGCAATTTTCTCCTTCTAAATTTAAAATAAATTTGGCATAGCTAGGAAGCAACTGTCCCAAAGAGCATTTTGTCTTTACGCACAGAACAATTGGAGGAACGTGGGCTTCTCTACACTTCTGCCATCATTGTCGTTCTAGAGCGAGACGACCTTCAGTTGGGTAAAAGGAGGAAATTTAGTCTCCAAGTCCCATTCAGTTCTTGGCCTCTCCGCCTGTCCTGATCGGGAAACACCTACTCTAGTGATCACTTTTGCGCTGTATGTCAGCCTGACCATTAGTAAGGGAACTGGGTCCCACTAGTACATTCTGCAAAGCGCAGGGGCATGCATCAGTAGTTTTATATTCTTGCCGGTGAGGGGCTGCACTGGATTTTTCCATCCATCTGCAGAACAGCTAGCTAAGCCATTTAGGTTATTTATATCTCTTTCATTAAAGTTCTTGTGTTCTTTGACTTTACCTAGCCACAACAGAATCTACTTCTAAGTACAAAAGAGAGTCTCTAAATTTCCTTGTCAGGAAATACTGTTATTGCGTACTCACAGATACTTGAACTAGCAAATGCAACTAGTGCTTTGAACACTTATGTCATTACTAGTTTGCAAGCAGGTGGGATTAACCACTTGTTCAAGAGATCACACAGAAACTGGGCAGAAGCAGAAACCATGTCTTGAGACTCTTAATCTACTACTTAAACTATTAGACAACACTGATCCCTGGAAAACAACAGAAATGTTTATTCCTACCAGCAAAATTTCATGCTTTTGCCTTTGGCCATTTTCAGAGGCAGGCTGCCGCACAGCTTTCACAATATTACTTAGATCAACGCCTAAGAAGCAAGAATTAAAATAAGATTAATCGAGATGAAGGAACTTGAGTAAAACACGTCAAGTTAAACCACAGTAAGCAAAGAAAAGAGTGGATTAATGCATCATGAAGCTGAAAGGTTGCCAAAGCTCTGGCTATCTAGAATCAATTCTAGCTAAATGCCAGTTGGGAAAAAAAGAGTTCAATTTCATTCTCTGAATTGAAGTTTGCCGTTTCAGTTAAAGGGGTCTTTCAGTCATAACTACTCCACAAAACCAGGTTAGTATTAATAGTATCTATGTTCCACATCACAAGGCTTCAAGTCAGTACTGGATGGCCAATCTTTGCACAAATACTCTCTTACATTTTGTGATACCTGAAGCTTCACTCTGTAAGAACCTGAAACAGCAAAAATAGATGAATTTACAATACCTTGGGCCTCAAACTGCTGCACGGCTTCTCTCACTGCCTCTTCTGGATCCATTTCAAATTCCGTAATATTTTCTTGCACTGCATCATCAAACGTTTCCTGGGCAATCTGCTTGGATCCCATTTTATTTAAATATTCGAATGGAATGAACTGGTTTCCTGTCCTGTCACTAGGGAAGCCCAAAAATTAGTTTTGGTGCGAAAGTTTCTACAGACCCCACTCAGCAGAGACAAAGAAAGGACCGCGGCTCTTTTTCAAAACGAAAGCACCGAACTCGAAACCAAAAACACAGCACCAGAGGAATGGGGTGTTTCTTTGTTTTTTTTTTTTTTGCCTTTTTGTTTTGTTTGCTTGTTTTTTAAATCAGTAAAAACTGG